TATATATATATATATACTCATTTAAAAAGGGAGATGAGCAGAAAGGGATCCCCAAGTCCAGAAAAAAGTAATGAGAATCCCTCTCTTTGAGGGCCATGTGTATTTTACCTATCCTGTTAATCACTGTATCCCCCTGCCTTGCACAGAGCCTGGTCCAGCGTGGGTGAAGGATACCGGCTGTGGAATGAATGGATAGATGATGCCTGGGTGAATTTGTAATACTCCTTCATGCCTCCCCACCCCCATCACCTTGATCCCACCTCTGCTATATTCTATTTGTCAACATGTAGGCCAGGAGGCAGAAGGGCTTCCTGGGACATTTTGTTTCTGTTCTGGTCTAGGACACAACACGATGACCTGGCAAACAGATGGCTTGATCATTTAACATTGTTCTATTTCAAGCAAAACGCCCTGGCGAGATTGATGCTCAGTGACTCCAACCTGTTACAAGGCTCTTTGGAATGAACTCCTCTGGTTTGGTCCTGCCTGCCAAACACATTCCCCAAGTCCTGTCTTTCCTGGTCCCCCGAGAGGCTGCTGCAAGTGCAAACACTCCCTCCTCTCAGCCAAAGGAGAACTGGGGTCTTTACTCTCAAGGCATAAACAGGAGGCGCGTCAGTGGCAGTAGCTGCTGGCCTGGGACAGCCCAGCTTGCTAAGCACTTGCTCCCACCTGGAGAGCCTGGTGGGGCTTTGACAGCTGCTCTCTTCCTGGGAAGGGGGGCGGGAGGCTGTGGGGCTGGCCTGTGTGGACAGAGGCGGGTGAGGCGATGAGGATGGATGCCTGCTCATTGAACTGAAACAAATGACTCCTATGCCCGCCAAACGGATGCCAGAGGAGCTGAGAAACTAAGGACTTTGCTTATGCCTGTGAAAGTACCCGCTGAGAATCGTAGACTGGCGAGCTGGGGGCCTGACGGTGACTGTCAAGGGCTGGACGGTGGCAGGGGTGCGGGTGGGGAAGAGTGCTGGGTTCCACAGCAGCTTCTCAGCCTCTGAGCGGCTCTCTGGGCCTTAGTCTTTACAACAAGATACTTAACCCGTGTGGATAGGCACTAGCCAATCAGAACGAAGGAGGGTTTCATTGCCTACGTTTCAGCTGGCCTTAATCCCTTCGCTGCTGGAAGGTAGAGTGATGGGGAGGGCTTGGAGGAGGGGCGAGGGTGCAGGAGTGGGCGAGGCCTAGGGGAGCTCAGATCAGCCACGGTTTACCCATCAGGACAGGCCCCTTTCAATGTTAGCAGCCGGTGTGGCCGCACTCCTGCTGAATGCCAGCTCTGCTGGACAACACAGAAAGGCGGGTTCGGTTCTCACTCTCTACGTGCAGAAGCATCACTGGGGAGCCTGCTGACAACACAGATGCCCGGGTCCCACCTCGAAACGACCGAAGTGCACTCTCTAGGGCCCACGTGCGGCCCTTGACGCTCCCTCCCGAGGCCATGTGCCCTGGACCAGCGGATCTCTAAGGATCCAGCTCTGACTGTCAGGGGTCTGCGAGGACTGAGAGGTGAAGCCCGGCACACGGTGTCTAGGGGAACGTGCCCAGGTCACGTGACCACGCCAACGTGTGCAGGTCACGTGACCACGCCAGCCAGGCCCGTCCATTTGGCTGAAGCAGCCTTGGGCCTGGCCCAGCCGCGGGGTTGCTGCGGCTCAGGAGGGCGGCCCGGTGTGAATCTGAATTTTCAAGAGACGTTGGAAGTCAGGGAGCCACGTCTTGTGTCACAGGTAGGGCATTGCTTTTCCGGCCCCAGAAGCCCTGTCTGAGGCCGGTGGCGGGCAGAGGGGTGTGGTTGGCCCCACCAGAGGAGGGAGGAGACCAGCCCTAAGTGAGGGTCTGGATGCCCCTTAAGGAGTCCGTGTCCTCAAGTACGGACCTCAGAGCCTGCCCTCAGCAGCTTGCCTAGCACAGAGCTGCCAGGTCCCCTTGCTAGGGACTTAGAGGGTAGCCGGGGGGGACAGAGCTGTCACGGGAGGAAATGTTTGGCTCAGAGGCGAGGTGCTGGGTCCTGCCCAGGATCCCTGGGATGTTCCACAGAGGGGTGGGTTCTCTAGGTATAAGAGAACATGCCTGCATCGCTCCATTTAAACTCAATCGCCAGATGCTTCCTGCCCTGCCTGGGACAGCCTTCCTCCCACCCCTTTCTCTGACTCGTCCTCGTCCTCCAAGACTCAGCTTAGATTGTGCTGTACCCCCATGACTAGGCCACGCTGGTCTCTTTTAACTCCACAGCCCTGGGCGCGCCCTTATTTCAGACTTTCTCACCTGAAATTTCAGTGGCTTGCTGCCTTAAAAACATGCACATCTAACACTTGTTAGGTGTTTGCTCTGTGCCAGCACGGTTTAAGTCACTTTCTAGTATCATCTCAGTTAATCCTCAACAGCCCAATGAAGTTGCATGGCTATCCTCTCTATGTAAGAAAGCAAGGCCCAGAGAGGTTAAGTGACTTGCCCAGCATCACACGGCCAGGAAGTGGTAAATGCGGACTTGCACCCAGTCTGTGTGCAACACCTGCAACCACAGCACCCTGCCGCCCCCCGCAGGCTGAAGCCAGCATCCTGGGTTCGCGCAGCATCGCCCCAAGTGGGATGTGAAGGGAGGTAGCTTGAACTCGGGGGTGTGGGCAGCTATCGGTCTCGCTCTGCCGCTGCCTGTGGGTACTCTCCAGCCTCGGGGTCCTCGGTTCTATAGTGGGGACAGTTGTACCTGCCTCATAAGGTTGTTGGAAATCACTGCGGTGCCTGGCACATAGGCAATGTCTGAAACGTGTTGATGGGATAAATGATTGGAGGCGCCAGTGAGTTAAACTTTTACTGGGAAATAACACCCTCCTGCCCCTTTCAAATCCCCATTAGACTCCACCGAGATGGGATTTGGTTTGATGCTGGACCTGGGCGAAGGGGGTGGGTGGAGTGGGGATGGCCAGCCTTTGGAGTTGTTTACAGTTCTCAGAGAGGTTACCCTATAGAGTGAGTGGACAATGGGAAGAATATTGTTTCATTTGGGAAGCATGAATTGCATCTCAATTATATCCAAAACAACCTGCTTGGCCCCAATGGTTAAAAATGATCTGGATCCATTGCTACTGAGTTGGCTGGTCATGTCCTATACCTGCCACTCTGGGTGTAGACTAGATTGCTAAACTTATCAGCGTGATTTTTTTTTTATAAAGATGAGGTGTAGGAACTCATATCATCCCCTGTCTCCCTGTCCTTGTGTCTTTCTCCCATTGCCTCATGTGGGTCATTCAGTGAGGCATGGAATTGGGATGCTGATTCTGTGGGGTAGACATGGGTCTGACCCAGGCCTGACCTCTGTGCATGGTTCCTTGATAGGATGATGGTTTTGTTTTTGTCTTATTAAGATCTGGAAAAGTGGCGGATGATTCACTTTGTCAAGTGTGTGGGTGGGTATGTAAAGTATGTGTTTTTAGACCAGGACCTTGAAGAACTGGGAATTCTTCAAGAAGGGGAATGTTGTAAGCAAACCTGCCTTTTTTTAAGGGCACCCAGCATTAGCAGCAAATGGCATTTGTGCATTAAAGTGCCCGCATTGCTAGGCATGCAGTGAATGTGAAATCCCAGCAGTGAAGTTTCATGAGAATGGATGGGGTCTGACAGCTCTGCCTTAGGTCTTGGGGACGCCCTCCTACTGTTTACAAGGCTGCCTGGGAGTCCCGCTCACTTCAGTCCCTTCCTAGTGGGGTCACCTAGTTGTGCAGATTCGTCCTCCTTCCCCCACCTGTCAGGAATGCCAAGGCCAATTTCTCCTCTTTGAAATTCTTTCCTGATGCTTTCCCCCAATCCTCTCTTTCTCTTTTTCATCACCTCCCTGCTGTCTCTCGCTCCAGGATCTTCCTCCCCTCCTTCTCCTCCTTTTCCTCTCCGGCATCCTTTGTTTAGTTCAGGGGTGGGGGACCTTTTTTTCTGCCAAGGGACATTTGGATATTTATAACATCATCTGAGGGCCATACAAAATTGTTAACTTAAAAATTAGCCTGCTGTATTTGGTCAAACATTTAATTAACTCACCCCTAATGCCTTGGCAGGGCCAGATCAAATGATTTCGTGGGCCTTATACGGCCTGTAGGCTGGACGTTCCCCACCCCTGGTCTAGTCCCCTTGACAGTGGCTTTCCTCTAAGAAGTGCCCCCACACAAACCTTGGGCTGGCATTTTCCCACAAACACAGATGCCTTATTCTTCAACCGGTGAAACAGCTCATCTTCCCCGAAGGAGAAGGAATTAGAGAAACTAACGAACGTTGCAATGCAAACAGAATATCTACCGAAACCCAAACCCCTCCGCCTACAAGTTATTTGGAAGCTCGCTGTGCTTTCCTGGGGAGGTCAGCCTCCAGCCGGGTGGCTGGCCCATAGCACCACACCCACAGCTGCCTGCTCCCCGCTCCTCTCTCGTGTAAGACTCAACGTGGGAAATGGATTGAACAACTTGCAGCAGGATAAGCATTTGATAGGTAGTCAGCTTTCCCTCTGACCTTCTCATTTGGAGCAAGGCCTTTGGTATCTATCTCACACCCTCCCCAGAAATTCTCCCCCTGCCCCAGGATTGGGACTCTGTGGCGGGAAAAGATATAGCAGCTCCTAGTGGACTCAGAAGATGGCAGAAGCTTGTGGCGAACAGGGTGGCGAGGTCAAAAAAGCAATGCCAGCACTCCCACCACTGCGCACCCCAGGGTGAAGCCCCTTTCGGGACACCACACCGATTCTACGCAGAACACAGGGCAAGAGCGCACACACTCCAGGCCGGGGACGGGGCGGGCGGGATGGTCTCCCACTCTTTGGTCTGAGCAGCGGGCCTTGCTGTGTAGGGTCATGATTTTGGAAGGCCCCATCTCCCCTCCTGCCCAGGACAGGAGTCCCTGCCCCCACCTCTCCTTTCCCAGAGATAAAATGGGCAGGAACAAGGACCCAGGCTCGAGCACCCAAAGAATGGCAGGACACCCTCAGTGGAGGCAGACTGTATTTAAATGCAATTCACCTCTTTGGGATCTAGGAAAAGCCACCCGAAGATTCATTTGCTGGGAAACATGGTCTGTGTGGCGGAGGCGGAAGACACTGGGGCCACGGTCTTGCTGAAAGCTGACTTCCTCCGGGGGTCTGTCTGCTGTCCGGAATGGCAGCCGCTGCGGTGGGCGAATAGGATGGTCATCTCTGGGCCCAAGGGGTTGGCTTCAGGCTGGGACCCCTTAGGGGTGGTGGGATGTTCAGGCTTCCCGGAGGTGCTGTGTTTGGTGGGAGGAGGGCTGTAATTCTGAAATCTCACGGTCTTGACTTGCTGTGAGAGAAAGAAGAACATAGGGACCCAGGTGAGGGGGGAGGCATCCCTGGGACCTGCTTCATGCTGTTTCTCCGCTCTGGCCCTGCCTCAGGGCCTCACGTACATGTTCATTCAGGAACTGCGTGCGTCTACCACGCATCCCACACTCTGTGAGGAGCTGCGAACCCAAGAGTGAACACAGTTGTCCTCGACAGAAAGACAATTGTAACCGCAAGCGCCAGGATGGGGCACGTATAGATGCTCAATGCAGACGAGTATGAAACTAAAGCTGGAGGGCGGGTATGCAGGGAAGGCTTTCTAGAGGCCGAGTGAGTTCCATTGAGAACTGAAGATCCATTAGGAATTCTCTAGAAGAAATCTGGTAGGCCTGCCTGGGAAAGGGCCTGAGGCCAGAGGGTCTGGTCTGTTCTGGAAAGTCTCAGTTCACCTTCCCTCTCTCTTCTCTCCGCCCGCCCTGGAGGCCTAACTCAAGGCGCCCCCTTCCTGAGTCCCCCCTGCTGGTGCCATCGGGAGAGCCCCACAGGCTGAGAGGCCCTCAGAGAGGTTTGCAAACTGGACATGGGCCGAATTTAGCCTGCAGCATGTTTGAGAGCTGTAGGAAGTTAGATCACACATCAAAATCAGTCGTTTGTATGTCTCTTTAAAAATCAGAAATCCGGCACGCTGGGCCGGAGCCCCATTTTGGCAACAACTGAAGAGCAGTCTCTCTCCATAGGGAGGTATGTCCCCTGTTTGCACAGGCATCGCCTCTCCCTCCTTCCACCTCCCCTGGCTGTTACCCACCTGCCTGGTGCCTACACATATCGGCTTTGGTCGGTCCCCCTCTCGGGGCTTAGTAAAGTGCTCTGTGTACTGCTTAGGAATGATTTCTTTTTTTCCCGGAAATTCGATCCTAGTGTCCCCCACTGAGAATCCAGGTTTCTTCACACTAGACCTTGATCACATCTAGCAGAGGCCTGGGCACTTACTGGACGCTTGCAGTTTGAAGGCTGTATCTAACAGCTTGGGGGGACGGGCAGCTGGGGCCTGGAAGGTTTTGACTTACTTGACAACTAGAATTCAGGAAAAAAACACACCCCACCTCCTGACATTTCCATCAGTCAGCACTGACTTTTTCCAAATGCCTTTCCCTATGAGCTTAGCGTCAGGAGCATCAGTTTTTGTATTAGATCCGGATTCCACTCCAGACACTTGTGCGTCCGCTGTGTGCTTTTGGGTAATGTGCTCTAACTCCTTAAGCCTCCACAATGATAATACTACTACTTCAGAGGGTTGTTGTCAGGATGAAATGAGAGAACACGTGAAGCAATTAGCACAGTGCCTGCCAGGTCATTAGCAGTCAGTAGTGTGTGACGAAGAGAAGGGGACCACACTGCCTTTCCAGGTCAGGGGGAATGGGCGGTGGCGGTGAGGCTATGATGGTCAAGAAACTAAAAGATAATAAGCATTGCCTGACTTCCTAATGTCACCTCCTCCATCCTCCATCCCTCCTGCTTCAAGGATGTTAACAAAATCTCCTATGTCTTCTAGTGGGAAAAGCCCTGAAGTAGAAATGAACATATTTGATCTCTGCCCAGTTGTCATAATTCAGTGTGATCTTCTTCTATCCCAGTGATGGCGAACCTATGACACGCGTGTCAGAGGTGACATGCGAACTCATTTTTTTGGGTTGATTTTTCTTTGTTAAATGGCATTTAAGTATATAAAATAAATATCAAAAATATAAGTCTTTGTTTTACTATGGTTGCAAAGATCAAAAAATTTCTATATAGATGTGACACAGCACCAGAGTTAAGTTAGGGTTTTTCAAAATGCTGACACGCCGAGCTCAAAAGGTTCGCCATCACTGTTCTATACCATGAACAATTGTGTATCAAGCCCTCAGTAAGCACTGTATACATCTTTACTCACTAAATCTCCACCCCAATCCTATGAGGCTGTTACTAGTATTCTTACCGCCACCATTCTACAGATTAGAAAAAAAAAGAAGTCTCAGAAAGGGGAAGTGTTTTGGCCAAAGTCACAGCTAGCAAGCAGCAGAGCTGGAGTTCAAATCCAGATTTCTCTGATGCCAAAGCCATGTTTTTCCCAAGCCACCTTGTGCCTTGAAAGAAGTGTTTGAAATATTCAGAGAGGACGTGAGGATGCAGAGGGGGTTGCATGTAGGGGTCCTTCAGGGGCAGTAATTTTGATTTCTCGTCCACTAAGACTAAAATCTCAGGAGCTGGGACAGTGAGCCATGCTAGGGGGCCGAAGAGTCATGGCCCCAAGGTCAGCTCACTCCTACCTTTTCGCTGCTGTTTCTGGAGTTTTCTGGCTTCACCAGGATGGATGGCGGGGCAGATGCGGGCGGTTTGAGTGGAGGCTCGCTCTTGATGGGGATTTCCTTGCCTTCCATGATGATGGAGCTGGCGGTTGAGTGGATCCTGGACTCACTGCCTCTGCTGACGCACGTGAGGGCAGGCTCCCCCGTGGGAGCCGGCTTGGGTCCCATCTCCGCCACCACCATCAAGGGTGAGGAGGGGACCGCCGGTGGCTGGTGGAACTGGAACTGCTGAGGCCGGACGACCATGGTGGGGCTGCGTCTGAGAGAGCCCACCACAAGGGTGGGGATCCCTGACGGGATGGGTCTCTGCAGGGATCCATCTGGGGAGTCACATGACAGAGATATCAGCAATGGGGTGGGGTGGAGGGGGGTGGCGGCGAGGGGGGGGCACAGCAGGCTGGGTGAGCAGTGTGTCCTGATATCCCAGAATAGTTAAGTGCTTTCTCAATCTGACCGCACGCACATTCTCTCAGGGTCTTTCAAAGGTGACCTTATTCTTTTTTTAGTGCTGTTTGCTGATGCTGGCAGCCAATAAGTGGCTAGCTGAATGTTGGGGGAGGGTGTTAGAAGGTATGTTTCTCTCTCTCTCTCTCTCTCTCTCTCTCTCTCTCTCTCTCTCTCTCTCTCTCTCTCACACACACACACACACACACACACACACACACACTCCTACTCTCTCCCTCCAGACCTTTAAGATGGAAAGTGAAGAAGATAGACCTAGAGACAGCTTCACAGTGAGAAGCAAACAGAGGCGTGCAGACCAAAGAGGAAACAAAAGCCAGAGAATGAGAGAAACCGAGAAGAGAAACTGAGAAACACAAGAGTCAACTGAGAGGGAGGGAGAGGAGAAGGGGAGGCGGGGAGGGGTCTCTGGCCAGCGACTTGAAGAACATGCTAACAAAAGCTTTAGCTAGATGGTGGTGGGATCGCTTTTAGCTGGGCTTCAGGGAGGGTGGGTGGGATTCTGAGAGAGAGAGAGAGAGGGTGTGCAGGCGGATGTGGCACCAGAGGGAAGCAAATCTGGAAAGGTGACTCCAGAGGGAGGTGTGTGCGGATGAGCCTCGCAGAGCCCCTGACATGAATCAGATCTATTCCCAGGGAGCCTGGGACAGGTCAGTCGCCTCAGCCCCCTCATTCGTAAGCCGGAACTAATGGCAGCGCCCCGGAGGGCTGGCGGGAGGATTACATTTTAGGATGCATGCAAAGTGTTAGGAACGCGCCTGGGGCCTAATAAATGGCCCATGTTTGTTAGACATCATTTGTGGGTAAAGGATAGCAAACCCTAAAAATGCGAGGTCTGCCCAGCCGGTGTGACTTAGTGTTTGAGTGTTGACCTATGAAGCAGGAGGTTGCGGTTCGATGCCCGGTCAGGGCACATGCCCGGGTTGCTGGCTGATCCCCAGTGTGGGATGTGCAGGAGGCAGCTGATCAATGATTCTCTCTCATCATTGATGGTTCTGTCTTTCACTCTTCCTCTCAGAAGCTAATAAAAATAAAAATAAAAATAAAATGCAAGGTCCAGGAGTTTGGTTTTGCCCCTTCCCTAAGCTCTTGTTCTTTTTGTTAACAGAGATGATCCCCTCTCATTGAAAAGCCGTTCCGCTCACATCCCCTGGAGACAGGAGATCCTCACCCCTTGGGAATATGTCCTGTAGGTATTTGGGGGATAGTCAGGAGCTCACGGCACTCGGGGTGCAGGGGGGAGAGACACCCCTGAGAAGCACTGTGGCCATCTCTCCGTAAGGGTCCCCAGCACTGAGAGGCACAGGTGGCGTGGCTCAGCCGTTTGTGTCCCGCACAGGGGCCCGCGCCAAGGCCTTGTTCTGCGCTGTGACTTTTCATCAAGCGGACGTGAACGTGAGAAGCAGAATGCTCGCCACTCACACTCGGCCTTCTCAGCTGCTGCGAGCAAGCCAGTCACCATTTACAAGTCTGACCTTTCCACATGGATATTTATTTTGCCACGGTCAGCCCTGTGAGGTCATGTCTGCTGTCATTTCTCTTCGCTTCGGGGAGACTGAGAGCTTGACCAGCCTCACCTCGGGAAGGGGAGAGAGAGAAAGCCTCCCGGATCTGGAAAAGTCAGAGGGGCACTGGGCAGATGTGGCCTCGGGCTCCCAGAAACGTGTGAAAAATTGATTTTATGCCTTACCTATTTATTTTGTTGGTTCTAACTTCCAAGAGAGGGAATGCTTTCTCATTGCATGTGCGTGCAATGCAAACAGTCTAAGCTCTGAGTTAATCAAGATGTGCGCAAAGGCAGGGAGCGAGCCCATGAGAGGAAAGTGAGTAGTTGCTGGTGGGACGCACTGCCTGGCTTGTAAGTGGTCCAGGCTGAGTCTCCGTGAGCACAGGCTCCGGATGGAGCAGAGATGATCTGCTTAGTGGCAGTAGCAGTGATGAGACGGATAAAATAATAATACTATAAAATAGTTATTTCTCAAGAGCTTATTACGGGCCAGGCGCTGTGCCATCCGTCTTATGTGGATTATTTTATTAAATCCATACAATAACCCTGATGAGGTTGGTACTGTTTTTATTTCCATTTCCCCCCATTTATTTCCATTTTACGAATGAGAGAACTGAAGACTGAAGAGGTCAGTAACTAGCCCAAGGCTGTTATGGTGGGATCAATTACTGTGTGTGTGTGTGGGGGGGGGGGGGCGGGGGAGGGTGGGTATAAGGTGGAGGTGCTGGAGGGAGGACAGTCGGTGGAACTGAGGGGCAGGCGTGGTGGCACTGAGGTCAGCAGGTGACCAGATGAAAGCACTGGGAGTGGGTGGAACTAAGATACGAATTTTCCTGGGACATTTTCCTGTGTGGCATATTGTCTCACTGTTTTGCTCTGACTAGTCAGTCTTATTGCATCTTCACATTGAATCATTTTTTTTTTAAAGATAGCAGAGTCCAGCTCAAATCAGAGGATGCAAAATGAATCAAGTTTACTTTGGTTGGCTCATTGTCTCCTTCTAGAAGGGTGTATAAATAAATAACAGAATCTTGCTGTTTTGTAGGACAATGGGTTTCAAACACTTTATAAAATCCTTGAAAATTAGGCCTTATGTAGAAGCTCAGTGTTTTAGGAGATAAAAACATGGCTTTTAAGAGGCAAGCTCTATATTACTGCCACATGTGCAGGTGGCTGTTATATGGGTAAAAATAAAAACAAGGTGCAGGACAGTGCAGTGAGTATGATGACAAGGTATAGAAGTACATGGAAGAGAACTTGAGACTGGAAGTGAAGGATATAAGGAGACTTACTTTTGTATAATGTACTTCTTTTTTTCTTTAACCTCGTGCATATATTAATTAAATCACAAAATGGGATTCAGAGGCTCTTAGCATTGACTTCTTAACTTTCTTTTCCTCTCTCCCCACTTCCTTTCCCTTGCTTTCCTTCTGGCACCCCTGAGGGGTTCCTTGGAACATAATTTGAGAAGCACTGCTCCAGCAAGTGCTTTGGTTGTTCCCTCTTTTTTTTAAAAAAATATTTCTTTATTGATTTCAGAGAGGAAGGGAGAAAGAAAGAGAGATAGAAACATTAATGATGAGAGAGAATCATTGATTGGCTGCCTCCTGCACACCCCCTACTGGGGATCGAGCCTGCAACCCAGGCATGTGCCCTTTGCCGGAATCGAACCTGGGGCCCTTCATTCCGCAGGCTGATGCTCCATCCACTGAGCTAAGCCGGCTAGGGCTGTGGTTCCCTCTTAATGAGAGCCAGCATCCACCTTGGCTGTGTTCTAATTACAGGTTGGCACTCAGGGCTGCCGTCCTCCCAGTCAGTCAGTGTGCATGTATGACGTGACTGGAGGGCAGTGACCTTGAGTGGGTCAGTCTGCATCCAGTAGAACAGCTCAGTATTTGGGAATCATAAAAAAACCTTCCACTGAGGCTTGTTTTAAAGCCAAGATCCTTGTTTTTGCAGGAAGCACTCTGTCCACCGAGGTCAATCTCTTCCTCCCCGCCCCCCACCCATTCACTTAGCTCTAGGCACATACCTCTCTGCCACCACTTACTCTTTCTCATGCTGCCCCGCCCTTTCCGGAGAGTGCTCTGTCCTGGAGCGCCCAGGCTGGCTGTGCTCCGCACGGGGTTGACTATGGCCGTGGGCACAAAGACGGACTTGAAGGGGCGGCTTTGTCGGGGATCACCTTCTGAAATGCTGCCTTGGGAGGACACAGAGGAGGTCGACAATGTCCATGTGGCGTAGAGACCAGGGCTCCGGGCGTCTGGAAAACTAGATGTCTTTCTGGGTGTGGAAATTGTTTTCAAAAGAAACAGAGAAAGCAAATGGTCAGTCAAGAGTCCTGTTTTAAAAACCTACCAGCTCCCAGCCGTAGACCAGATGTGGCTCTTCCTCGCCCTCTTTCTACCCATAAATATGCTTTTTGTCAATGACGTGGGCTTAACTACGTATCCTCATCCTATACACTTGCTGACTGTGGTGTGTTGAGGGTCTCATAAGGGTCCTTTCCGTGTTCACCTGGCTTTGCCATGGTGATTCCTTGTCCATTCAGGGACTCTCTGAAGGCAGAGATTTTACATGACCTACGTGTCCTACAGACCTTAATTATGAATAAATGTTTGCTGAGTGGCTGCCATGATGCCTTCAGCCCTGATGCCAGTCACTCTGGCTAACACATATTGAGCACTTACTGTATGCCAGGCAACAGCCAAGTGCTTTGCCCACATGATCTCATGGATTCTTCACAACAGCCCTTTGAGGCAGGTTATTATGAGTACTGCTATGTCATAGAAGAAAGTAGAAGGAGATTTAGAGGTACTTGCCCAAGCAACTACAACTCTACCACTGAGCAACACCACCTGCGCTCTCACCACTGCGTACACAGCCTTGGGGCTCGTTAGAGCATTCATCATTTGGTAGCAAGGAAAACCTGCATCCTGCTGGAAAGAAACTGAGTAAAGCAGTGGGTAGGCCGTGAACGTACCACCGTAAGACATCATTTCTTCAGCCTTAGGGTCTGATTTTTAATGCTAGTATTCAAATTTTGTAAAACAGCAAGCAACCCCTCCTCCATTGTTCCCAGCCTGCGAGTCCCTGAACCCCGTGGGGAATGGCTGTCAATCTACCTGCCCTTCTTGCCCTTGTACCAACAAGTCCTCCCCCAACATCACAGCCTCTCCTAAGCAGCCCATCCGTCACCTTGTCACTCTGTTGATGAAATAACCTCGGCTAATTACCTGGGAATAACCAACGTGACCACGGCCCCCGGCACAGAGATGCCCTCCTAGTTTCCTGCCTGTCAATGCCCCCAGGTTTCTCTTTGGGTAATTTCCTCTTATTTTCCTCCTTTTCTCTCCTTTTGCTTAAAAGTGATATGTGGTTTAATGATGAGCCGGCCAGGGTTGTACAAAGATGAGTAAGGCATCCTTTAATGTAGCCAATCCTGCCCAAGACAGATATGCAGCCCGATACGCCAGGAGCTGATGGTGCAGGGGAGTGGGCTGCCCACCATGAAGAGCCCACACTACATTGGAGGTGATGGCCGCTGGAGGAGAGAGACCCCCAGCACCAGCTTCCATGACATAGTCTGCATCTGCCTGTCTTTTTTTTTTTTTTTTTTTTTTTTTTAATAGTCAACAGGCTGTTTTTAGAGAGAGAGAGAGGAAGGGAGAAGCGAGAAACATCATGTGAGAGTGCAACATCGATCAGCTGCCTCCTGCACACTCCCCCATAGAGATCGAGCCCACAACCTGGGCATGTGCCCTGACTGGGAATCAAATCAGCAGCCCCTTGGTGCATGGGACAGCACCCAACCAGCTGAGCCACACTGGCCAGGGCACGGACCAGCCTGTCTTTTGAATCAAAGCTTTAAGGTGCTAGATGCTGCAAAATGGATTGAAAACAGGAGAGAATGCTTCCAGAACTGTTTCCGGCAGCAGCAGCAGCAGCAACAAGGAATTAGGCCCACGCCAGCTTTCTTCACCAGTCCTGTCTTTAAACAGACTGACATTCGACCTGTTTTCTAGTCCAGCACCAGGCTGAGTCCAGAAACTCCGAAATCCCAAGTCCTTCATTTAACAAGGGGCCCCTCTGAGTCTTAGCTCAGCACTTCTCTAGCACTTTCTTCTGACATCAGAGCACTTTGCACACACATATTAATCAATCCCCATGACACCTCAGGCCAGCAGACATCACGATGCTTGTTTTCTAGCTGGAGAGGCTGAGGGACATTCGGGTTTGAGAGCAAGGAGCATGTGTTGCCTCTGAGTCGCTCCACGGTGCTGCTTTGAATGTGCAGGTCCCTGTATCCTCTCTTCTATCTGTGACATGAGCCCTGAAGAACTTGCCGAATATTTGAAAGGGGCATGGACCTTGACAGTTTTTATGTAGTTCTGTGTAGAAAGTTAAAGGAAAATGAGTGCTGGCCCATGAGTCACTGGGAGGGCACATGTACCAGGTATTGGGCGAAGTTTGCAAGAAAAAGAAATATCCTGGCTAACTGGACAGAAGGGAATTTATGGGGAGGACGGGAGGGAAAGGCCTGGAAACAGGTCTAAGGGAGGTTGCTGAGGAATCTGAGGTGGGAAGGGTCTGACGCTACTGTTTGTGTTTTCGCCATGAGTGGTCTTCAGCTTTGCCCACATTCTTTCCTCCCTTGTCCAGGGTTCCAAGTCCCAAAAGAAAGTATCAGGTTGGCTGAGCCTGTCCCTTCGCTGTGGTGGTGGGTTGAGGAAGAGGAGGAGGAAGGGGAGTTGTTAATTTCTTCAGTCTCTGAAAAGGGAGGAAACTTCTGCCTCCCATCAAGACTGTGCACGAAGGAGGAAACTTGAAGGGATGTTGGTGCTGTTGAGAAGGGGTTTGTGTGAAAATCGGACAAATGCTCTGAACCACCTGAGCCAATGATGCCTCCAGGACCTAGGGAAACACCTCACGGTGGCAGAGATTTAGTTGTTGCTCAACACAGGACAGGCTGGACACCATCTCGCACAGAGGGCTGGAGCTCTGCGTGGCACAGCAGCCTTTCCCTCTCTTGGTAATGAAGGCTCACTTGGTGAATCTTCAACCAAAAACCTGGCATTTTGGTCACTTCTGGTCTATGTGTAGTTAGTCCCGAAACTGGCTGGCTCAGTCCATTAGGGGATGGTGCTAATGAGAGCAATGGTTCAAACGGTCAGGGCGCACCTCATACCTTCGGGCCCTGGCTATTGGAAAAAGGGGGCACCATCCACCAAGGGGGCTGGTGCCTGTGCAGAGCCACCACTGCAAACAGAAGACAGTGGGGGCTGAGGGAACTTCACACACACAGAACCAAAGAGCAGAAACACAGGTGTCCAACCCACTCAGTTCCAACACAACCTGCTTAAAGTAGCAGAAACCCAGATGACAATGGACAGCATCACTCAGCCCTAAGGAGGGGGAGGAACTACACTCCCCACAGTGGAAAGGGTGGTTAAGAATGAGGGTGAGCTGCCCCCAGATAGACAAATTGGACAAACGTCATCCACGCCCAAGATGAGTGGGGATGGGAACTTTCTCTGTGTCAGGGGGTGGGGGGCCATAGGAAAACGTGTCCACACAGAGAGCATCGACCCTCTGTCACCTCAGGAGGATGTACTGTGGCAGGGACTTGTTCATCTCAGAAATGCCAGTTCTCTAGAAGCAAAACCACCCCTTAGCATGAGTAGCACCTCAGTATATGATCCCCTACTGGGGATCGAGTCTGAAACCCAGGCATGTGCCCTGACGGGGCATCAAACTAGGACCTCCTGGTTCATGGGTCGAAGCTCAATCACTGAGCCACACTGACTGGGCATGGTCACTCTTATTCTATCTGTTCTTCCACGGCATAACCAAGACTTTGGGCTAAGGCCTGATGCATAAGCAAACGCCCTAGGAGTACACACAGGGCCCTAGAGAATTCATGTTAGATCCCACAGAAGAAACTGTTCATGAGTTAGGGTAGGTGTCCTCCTAGCTCCTCATTGTCACTTCTAGACCATTCTCCCACCCTCCTCTGTATCTCTGAGCTCTGACATATTATCGGACTCTACCATCTTGTTGCAGTCGTCATTTCTCCTCAGGTCTCTCCTCTCATTCCTGGAAGATTTCAGCTCCAGGCTCACTGCCCTTCTCTCCCCTCCACCTGATCCTACCATGGTGATTTCATCTAGAGTTAGGGCTTTAAATGCCATCTTAAGCCTGGACTTCTTCCTTAAATGCTAGACTTGCATATGCAACCACATCTTTATGAGGATTACTCACAGACAGTGGGACTTAATCTGCTGCAAACAAAGCTTTCGCTTCCCTTCCATCCCCCAAAACCTGTTCCTGTTTTGGTTTTCACCTCCATAGCAATAAAAGGCAACTCCATCCTACAGTGACTCAAGGCACAGAACTTGGACTCACCTCAGATCCTCTATTCTTTCATACCCAATATTGGATCTGTCAGGAAATCTAGGGTATAGCCAGAATCTGATCACACCCCCCTCCCACCATGGCTCACACCTGGTTCAATTCACCATCACTCTCCCCTGGATTACGATAATATTCCCTTAGTCTCTCTGCTTTGAACTTTTTGTCTCAACAGTTTATTCTCAAGCCAGCAACTAGAGGAATTCCAGTTCAAACTTATGTTAGATCATGTCATTCTTCTGCTCAAAACCCTGCAGTAGGGTTAAAGTCAAATTCATTATGACCTAGGAAATGCTCTATGATCTGACCCCCTGTTACCATTCTGATCTCATCTCCTACTAACCTGCCCCTCACTGGCTCTAATCCAGGCCTGTTGGCTTTCACATCAGGCACAGTCCTATCCCAGGGCCTTTGTTCAGGAATTTGCTGCTCCTTTGGCCTGGAATACACTTCCTTTGGCAACCTACATGGCTCCCCTCCTCATTTCCTCATTCCTTCTTCTCCTCAGTAAGGCCATCCCTGACCAACCTGTTAGAACCTTAATCACCCCCACACGAATTCTATTCCCCTTTCCTGATTTATTTTTCTTCTTAGGCCTCAGCATTAACATACCATACATATTACTTATACAGCTTGTTTTGTGTCTGTCTGTTCCTCTAGTATGTAATCTGTAGGCAGGGATTTGGTGTATTTTGTTCACTGGTGTTTCTCCAGTGTCTAGAAAGGTGACCAATACATGTCAGTGGTCAGCGCTCAATAAATGTTTGTTGAATAAATGAATTAAAGCATCAGTTATAGACACCCTTAATTTGCTTTTGGAGATTTTGCCACTTTCTAACAAATTCCAAGAACCTTCCTTTGAAGGATAACTAGGATCTTCTGCCCCAACTTTCCACCAGTCTTTTTACACAAGCCTGGACCTATGGGAACCCAGACTTCACCTGCACTCTTCCTAGGAAGGGGGTCCACCACCTCACCTGCTAGCCTGATAGGCAGCCTTTCATTGAACCACAACCTCCCACTGGTTCACTGCCCCCTCGTGGAATAAGTCCGTTTCTTGGTCGACACAGTCTATGATGGTCCCTCAGACCCTTCTTTGTACGTCTTACACAATAGCCCTTGCTTATCCGTTTCTTCTCTGACGTGGTTTTGTCTGCTTACCATCCTTGCTGCCCTCCTCCAGACTCAGTGCCTCGCCTACATGAAGGTCCCCCCTGAACTGAACATATGACTCCAGGAGTGAGCCTCAGAACGTACCATGAGATCATCACTTTCCTTGGGATTATGACTCTCTGGCGTGTCATAAAGACAGCATTTGCTGTGGTGATGGCCTCACTGCCTGGGCTTTGCCTGAGCTGGTAGAGGTACAGGTAGGAGGACGTGTGGGTAGTTTGGGAGTTTGTGTGCATTGTGGTTGTGGTAGGAGGTGGCTAGACAAACTGTGGGCCAGGGAAATCAACAGGTATGGCAAAGATGACAAAGGTTGGAACAAGTTATTTTGGAAGAAGACCTGCAGGGTAACTAACATGTGACCTGGGGTGTGGATGGACAGGGAGTAGTCTGAATTCACAGAAACTCTGCTCACAGTCCAACTTCCTGGGAAGGTTCCTGAGGTCCTTTGGGTGGTCATCCTGCCATCACATTTCCCCATTCTGCCACTAGATGGAGTGTTGAGGTGGAGGATGTGAAGTGGGATTTTTGGCATTTGTACAGAAAACCTGAAATCTAGATCCTGGGCAGGTTGCTGAACTCTGTACATCAGTTTCCTCATTTGTAAAATAATATATACCTTAAAGGGTCCCTCGGCATAGCTAATGAGTTAAAAAATGTGAAAGTGCTTGTAAATTGTGGAGAACTATAAAAAAGACAACTATTGCCCAGCCGGTGTAGCTCAATGTTTGAGCATCGACCTATGAATGAAGTCATAGTTTAATTCTAGGTTAGGGCACATGCTCAGGTTGCGGGTTCGATCCCCAGTGTGGGGCTTGCAGGAGGCAGCCAATCAATGATTCTCTCTCATTATTGATGTTTCTATCTCTCTCTCCCTTCTCCCTTCCTCTCTGAAATCAATAACAATATATTTAAAAAGAAAGATAAAAAGGACAACTATTTTAACTATATACATGTTTTTAAAATTAAAGTGTTAGGAGGGTAAAAGCTGTTTCTTGTGTTTCTTGGCCCACACTCTGTAAGAGCATCCAGTTGTTCAACCATTCAACCATCCCCAGGTGGCCCTGGTCTAGAAGACCCCACCCCCGGGTGCCTGGGATTGGAGGGGACGCACCTGAAAATGGGGATGACGTAGTTGTTGGGGAAGATGCCGACTCGCCCGGTGACCAAGGAGACTCCCTTGAGCCAGCCGTCCTGGTACTTCCCCAGGACCCTGATGCCTTCTCCCCTCTGCAGGTCCAGCTCATCGGGTCCGTGGGCGGAGTAGGAGTGCAGAGCTACAAACCTGGGGGTCACAGGGCACTGGTGAAGGACAAAGAGTACACCTCTGGGGGAGGGCAGAGGAGTGGCGAAGGGCGAGGGGAGATGGAACCTTCAGCCCAGTGGTTAGCGATAACAACCTTGCAAAACTGAAACCTTAATATGTAAGGCAGATGAAGATGGCAGAGAACCTGGTCTAAACAGCCGAAGGGGCCCGATCCCTGCCCTCTCCATGGCCCCCCACCTCCGTAGAATGTCACACAACTGCAAGTCACTAGTTTAGGCCACACCAGCATTTTGACAATGGGACACTGGCTTAAGTGGAGAAAGGAGTCGGTGACCAGCAGTTAGTGGCAGAGCCGGGTCTCAGCCCCACACGTGATGGCTCTGCGGAGGCTGCTTTCTCACATACACACGTGCAGCCAGCAGGCGCAGGGAGATGAGAGGTCGGCTGGAAGCCTCGACCCACTCCCTCTTCTGAGAGTAGAAACCTGTTTGCCCCCAGGAGCTAGCTTAACGTAGGCAGGGAAGTGGGCACTGGGCTGGAGGTGGGGCAGGGTTAGCTCTAGTTCTTTGGCGCACAGCGGAATGCTGGCTGCATGGTGGGATGGAGGGAATGGGCTTAGTGTGGTGAAAATGCCCTCGGGTTAGAGCAATGAAGTCCACACAGGGGTCGGGTAGGTCTCACATCCAGGTATGAGTCGGGGATGAAGACACTGGGGAATGGTGAGGCTGTGAGATGAGAATACCTGTATATGGCTCTCAGGCTAGACCTGAGCAAATCCTTCTAGATTCTAAGGACTGTGAGACACTGGAAGGTCTTATCAAATGGGCTGGGGGTGGAGTGTTCTCATCTGCAAGTTCTTCCCCCTAGAAAATGCTACATTTTTTTTTAACTGATTACTAAAGCAACATCTATTTATAGCCCACCATGAATCTAAAGGAAGACAATAGAAATTGCTCAGTACACAATTTCCCAGCAATGTTCTGGTATATAACCTTCTAGTCTCTCTATTTGGTGAAATAATGAGCTAGGATGACGTGCTTTGCTAATTTGTACTTTTCACGGTTATTTCCATTGGCAATTTTAAAGGGAGGGGAGCTGTTGTCTCTCTGGAGGGGAAGGTTTTGGAGTGCTCAATGGCAGAGGGATGGCTAAGATGACCCCTTTGCACCAGGACCGGGTGGAGGGCTGAGCTTTTTACTTACATGTTAGCTGAGAGGTGTTGCTGGGAGCCAGGCAGACTGACGATGGCCATGGAATGTCCTGGGGAGGCAGGCGTGGCGTGATACATGCTGACCTACACAGACAGAAAAGACAGCCATGCTGAGTCAGTGAGCGACACAAGCCAGGCCCACAGCAGAGCTGCTACAGAAAGGCCTGATGCAGCTGGAAACCAAGAGTCGTGCCCAGCGCTACCCATCATGGGCCATGTCTGTGGTTTGTGGGAAGAGCAGGGTGGGAATACATCGGTTTATGTCCTGGGGAGGTGGGGGGATGGGGAGGTGGCTTGCCAAGGCTGCATTCCCAGATTACTCAGGTAAGATGGAGAATGAAGACCAGTTGGATTGACAGTCAACAGGGCACCACCAGACCCCTGGATCCGTCCCCGCCGGCCCCTCCCCATCCCTCTCCCAGTGCACGCACCTCCCTCTCTCTATGAAAACCTGCTCTCAGAAGATGATACAACGGTTAATATTGATTGAGAACTTAGCACTTGCCAGGCACTTTGAAGTGCTTTACAAGCAAAGGTCATCTTTATTAAAGGTACTGTTATCCCTATTTTTGGATGAGGAACTGAGAGAAAGGTCACCCAACTAGTATGAAACAAAATGTAAAACCAGGTAGCCTAGGTCCGCCCCCTCATCCCCACCTCCCAGCTTATCCAGTGACTTATGGAAGATGACTCTGAACCCTTTCTATGTTTTTTTCCAGAAATAAAGAGGGAGCAACAAAGTGATAAGCTCCTGGAAACTGTCTGCTCACCTGGGACTTTGCCTCTTATCTAACTGACTAACTTGCCTAGTTCCTTCTTGGCACGTATCACAGCCTGTGATTGTTTCCTCATTTACTAACCATCCCTCCACTAGACTCTAAATTCCATGAGGCGGGGACTGCGTCTTGTTCATCACTATATTTTTTGTGTGCTCAATATATTGTTGTGGCTTAAAGAACAAGTGAATGAAAAAGTTTTCCTACCAAGGACTAATGAAACCTCATCCATTTCCATGCCACCCAGAGTAAATACATCCAATCTGTCTCAGTTACCCACCCATAAGTGATGGTAACTATGAATGTGTGCCCTTTTAGGGCTCTGGTTTTGAGTTGGACTCAGTTGAATCTGAGTGTTTGGGCAGGTGTGAATGCATCACTGAGTGCATCTGTCTCCGGTTCTCTGTGCAAGTGTGTATGTTTGTTCAGAATCCATGACAGTTGTATGTGGATGTGTGATGGCACTGGTCTGATTATGTCTGATTATGTTCAGATATATGGGTCTATAAGTTGATATGCACATATGCCATGTGTGATTATATGTATGTATGGTTGTATATGTGACTGTAAATGTCTATCTGGGATTCTGTGTGCTTGTGTATGAACTTCAGAGGTGTATGCAGGCATGTATGACTATAGTTTTTTGTGTTGATGGTTGTGTAAATGTATGTGTGATTGTGACATTATTAAAATCCAGTTATAGGATCAGAAACCATTCCAGTCAGATAATAACCAGTGTTGGTGGTAATGTAGAGGAACTGAAACTCTTACACAGTGCTGATGGGAATGTAAAAGTCTGGCAGTTCCTCAAATGATTAAACATAGAATTACCATATTACCCAGTACGTCCACTCCCAGTACATACCCAAGGTCACACAAAAATTTGTACACAGATGTTACAGCAGCATTATTCATAATAGCCAAAAGGTGGCAATAACCCAAATGTCCATAGACTGACGAGTAGATATACAAAATGTGGTGTATCCATACAATGAAATATCACTCAGCCATAAAAATGAAGTATTGATACATGCTAGAACATGGCTAAACCCTGGACACATTTTGCTAAAAGAAGCCAGATGCACAAAGACTATTATTACATGATTTCATTTATATGAAATGTCCAGAATAGGAAAGTCTATAGGACTAGAAAGCAGATTAGAGGTTTTTAGGGGCTTGGGGACAGAGGTAGATATGGGGGTGATAGTTAATGGGTATGAGAATTAAAGGGTACAAGGGCTCTCTTTGCAGTGATAAGATGCAAAATTGCAGTAGTGATGGTTGTAAATACCTGTGGATATATAAAAAAGCCACTGAATTGTATACCTTAAAAAGGTGGATTGTATGGTATGTGAATTGTATCTCACTAAAAGTCTTAAAAAAAAAAAAGCATTCCATGGTCACACATCTGAGGCTAACACTTCGTCAAATGTTCTGATCTTGGCAATAAAATATTGTCATACTGGTTCCCTCAAACAGAGATATAAAGGAGCTAGCTCTGGGCTGGGCAGGTCCTTTCCTGTGACTGGGCAAGGTTAATCCTGCCGGGCATGGGAGCTGTGCCAGGGAGAGCCTTGTTATGTGAATAACTAATCTTATGTTTGTAGAGACTGTCGAAGCACTGATTAAGCAGCATGAACTTCACTTAGCACCCACGACTTTCCAATGTTATGTTTGCGTAAAAAGTCCTTCCATCTAAAAACACTATTAATCTTTAGGGAGGAGGGAGTTGCCAGAATGCAAAGCCACCCCCTCCACTGCACCAGGCTCTCTCTCTTTTCTTCTCTAGGCCTTCCCAGAGAGGGAGTAGTTCCTCCTATTTGGTACATGGTACCTCGCCAGGACTGAAATTGGTGGGCTTGTGTTGGAATTCTTTCTAATATGGAACAGTAAGGGGGTCAGAGTCTCAGGTTTTGAGGTGTCTTGGAGGGGAAGGGAGAACATGAGTGGAGGAGGTGGAGGAAGTGGAGGGAGGGGGGGAAATAGTGGATGACTCTGAGAGTGGGGAAGAGAGAAAGTGAGAGAGGCACAGACAGAGCCTCAGTGGGGGAAAGAGAAGGGTTCAGAGGGATAGAAGGAAGAAGGGAGAAGAAAGGGAAATTTTAAAAAAGATGAGAAAAATTCTGACAACTCATTAAAAGAAAGACAACACAATAAGAAAAGAGCAAAAACAAGATATATTGAGTGGCCAATAAGTACATAAAAAGATCAACATCAACAATTATACAAAAATACGAGTTAAAACCACTATGAGATACCACTATAAACCTAAGAGATTGGCTAAGATGATACAGATGGACCATACCAAGTATTGGTGAGCATGTGGAGCAACTAGAACTCATTTACTGCTTGTGGAAATGTACAATGGTGCCACCACACTGGAAAACAGGTTGGCCATTTAAAAAAATAAAGTTGAATATACATTTATCATGCTACTCAGCAATCCTACTCACAAGTCTTTATCAAAGAGAAATGGAAGCATGTCCATACAAGGACTTGTCCATGAATGTTCATAGCGGCTCTAGTCATTTTAGACAGAAACTGGAAGCAACCCAAATGCCAAGCAACTGGTGAATGAATAAACAATTGTAGTTTAACGACAGTGGCATGTGCCTCAGCAATACATGCAATGACATACATGAACCTTAACACCATCCTAAAAGAAGCAGGACATCCAGGACTACATGTTCTGTGATGCCATTTATATGACATTCCTAAAAAAGCCAAAACTATAGTGACAGAAAACATGAAAAATCGCCAAGAGCCAGGGATGGGGAAAAAGGATCGCAAAGGCAGAGCCAAAACTGAATACACGAATGAATGGATGAATGTCTGACTGGAGGGATAGGGAAAGAGAGGAAGATAGACAAAGGCAGGGAAAGAGGAAGACAGAAGCAGACAGAAACGAAGGCCCTGTTCGGGAAATGAAGACAACCACATAGGTAGATGCCAGCTTCTGAGGAGGCAGGTCTGTTCCTGCCCCTGGCATCGAAGATGGAGGCCCGCCTTCCTGATGAAAGAGCCTAGTGAGTGGTTCCCTGAGGTCAACTGTGACCTCAGGTCCCTGGGCCCTAGAGGTTTGAGGCCAGATGGAGGTCCTCCAGCAACGGGTACTTCCTGGCACAGCGTTTGGGGACCCGAGCAGGTTTAGAGAGTGGGTGTGGATTTGAGGGTGAGTATTTCTGCTACAATCTAAAAACATTTTTCTTCCTTTTGAAGGAAATGACTCATTTCTAAAAGTCTTTATCAGAAATAGAAGCATCCACAGCTGTGTGGCCTCTGGGTGTTTTCAGGTCTTGAGGTTTTAAATGAGGGAGGAAGGTGGCACGGAGCCTGGCACAGCATTGGTACAGCATTCCGCTGGCCCCAGCGCCTTTCCCAGCAGCCACACAGGCGTAGAGAATGCGGCTCCCTCTCTGGACCTGGACAGGAGGTCTAGCTTCACGCTCAGGCATGTGCCTCTAGTGTTTGCCAGGATGTGTGATCTTGGGCCAGTGGTGGATTTCTGGGGATCTTCCATTTCCTCACCTGTACAATGGGGCGATAATGGCATCTCTCTCATAGAGTTGTTATCTGGAGGAAACAGCACAACCCATGTAAGTTGTTTAGCACATGTGAGTGCTCTATGAATGCGACTTATTTGGATCTGCAAAGAGATTAGCTGCTTGGTGTGGATGGTGTGGATGGTGTGGATGGAGCACTTCTTTTTATGCAACAGTTCTGCAAGGCCTTGGACTGAGAGCAGGACCCAAGAATGTAGTGGGGGATGGGAACAAGCAACCCTACCTCTCCCTCTCTTCTGGAGGAAAATGTCCCCCTCCCAGCCCTTCCGTGGCCTGCGCTATTTCCTCCAAGGCTCACACCTTGGTGGGCATGGGGTGACTGTTTCCTCAGTAGAGTGTGGTCCATTCCAGAGGGGCCCATTGTCCTGCATCTCAAGATTCCCAGGAGCTAACAAGGGCCTTAACCTACATAGTGTTCCTTCTGGGTTGGGAGACGAGTTGCATTTTAGATACAGAAGATTTGGTAGCTTCTGTAGCATTATTTGGTAGCTTCTGTACCCACCACTGTGGGTAATCTGGAGTTGACCATCTGTCTTCATAAAATTAAAAAATCTTTCCTCTATAGATCAAGAGACTTAAGAGCCACATGCAGGAATTGCAATGTGTGAACCTTATTTGGCCCTACACGCTGGGGTTAATGCAGTGAGCAAAACACACAAGGCTTCTCCTTCCCCACGTGGTACTCACCAAGTACATGGGAGGGAGGCGATTTAACCCATAATTATATAAGCGCGGTGCATGTTAG